TGGTGCCACCTTCTTTCCCCGGCTTGGCGAGACTCTCTTGCCACAGACAGACCGGGGACTGCGCTCTCTGGTGGGACGCAGTTTCAACCGGGATCCATGGCAACATTCCAGAAAACCAGCATTCTTCTTACACCATTTGGTTTGGCTTTTAATAACATTTAATGAACAAAGAAAGAGAGGAGAAGGAAAGAGCGACACGTTGGTGCCACCTTCTTTCCCCGGCTTGGCGAGACTCTCTTGCCACAGACAGACCGGGGACTGCGCTCTCTGGTGGGACGCAGTTTCAACCGGGATCCATGGCAACATTCCAGAAAACCAGCATTCTTCTTACACCATTTGGTTTGGCTTTTAATAACATTTAATGAACAAAGAAAGAGAGGAGAAGGAAAGAGCGACACGTGTGGAAAAGATTTACAAAGTATGTGGACAAAGTCTCTCCCTTGTCGATCGATGTTGGCCATTCTAGCAACATGCTAATAAAATTTCAAATTGAAATTCTTTTAAATTTATTTTCATGGCTTTAATCCATGAAACCTTTTAAACATTAGGGGCCATAGAAGTGGATTTAGCTAAAGAGTTTTTAGCTAACATTTGCCTTTCAAACCAACTGTCTCAAATTTTCTGTTAGTTCTGAGGGGGAGAGGTAGGAGGGTTCTTTTTGTTTTGGTTCTAAATACTGTAGTTTCAGCTTGTAGCCAGAGCTGTTCTTTTAGTCCAGTAAACTATATAAAGGTATTAATCCACTGTAAGTGTTTTTACCTTTCTCTGGCAGAAAATGATCACAAGTTTAAAAATCTGTTCTCTTTTTTTTTTGTTCTCCTGCTAGTCTTTTTCTGCTATGTTCTTATAATCCCTTCGTGTTCTGCTCTTCTGAAAATTATTAAGAACCATTAAAAATTAAATAAAGGATTGGGAGTATTTTGGTGAGCAATTTACATCCTGGCTTTTCCAGAGAGCAATCCTGCAAAGGTCTCCTGCCCTAGGTTTACCTTGCATGGCACAGAGCCACTGTACCAGTACTGTGAGGATACTTTCCACCTCCCTATACACTGCAAAAATTCAAACCCAGAATTGTTTGGCAGTCTGAGTGTTCCAGAAAATTGCAGTGTGACCAAGGTTACCTTAAAACCCAATTAAAGAAAATTAGCTTAGTCTAAATTTAGAAATACAAAGTTGCATAAAAAGATGCCTTTTATGTTATGCAAACAATACATTGCTTTATTTCAGATTGCATTCCAAGTTCACTCATTAATTTATTCTCAGTCTTGCAATAAAAGATCAGAACATTATATATAATCAACTATTATTCTTAATTATACTGGGATATTCCTGAACTTAGCTATTATCCTTTTTAATTACAATTACGTTGAGCTGCATACAATTTGTAATGATCAGGTTATCTTTGCATGTATCAATACTGGAAAGACAATGCATTTGTTTTTTTGTTTTCCCCTATCTAACAGATGGCAGAATTATTGTATATATACTCCACCCTCTCTGATATACTGTATCTTGGCTACTTTCTGTGTTAAACAACATCATAAGCAACCTTGTTTGTAACAATACTTCATTTTAACAAACAATGTGTTGCCTTCCATGCCTACTAAAGGATAGACGTCAACATTTATTTCATGTAAGACATCTGTTTAAAAATAGAAGAGGGGAACACGACAACCCTATAACTGACGGTCATGTAACATTTTCTATTTGCTGATGTGCTTGGCAAAGTTATTAGGCAATAAAATGTCAAGGTCTTTTTTTTTTTTCCTTTTCTTCAAAGCACCATTGATTACTACAATACTATATAAACAACTTACTTCAGTGGGAGAAATTTTTGGAAGTTAATTTCTACCTGCATCAAATAACTAATAGAATGGCTTCAAATTCCAATAACACACCTTGCAACAAATGCTTAATATTTTACATTTATGTTCATCATTTTTATTGCCTGGTAATTGTGGCCTTATCCATTAAAAAATAGCAGATACCTATTTTTGAATGATGGGAAAGAATGATGGCACATGTTTAGTTAGCTGCTTTTCTTTTTCCATATGCTGCAAGGATTGAGTGAGGGGAAAATGGAAGGAGAAAAGAAATATGGGAAGGAGGAGAGTAGTATATTTAAGAAGATGAGTTTGCAGATTCCCCATATTTTAGTTTTTGACTTCTGGAGTTAGATCCAGAACCTAAACTGCCCTGCTATAAATAACACAGAATTTGAAGCAGAATCCTTATACAAGCATCACAACACTTTCCCACTAATGAGAACTGCATAGTTTATTATGTTAATCAATGGACTTTTAAAAGATATTCGCTTTAAACTCAGTATTATTTCTTCACAGCCCATCATCATGTTCATACATTAATCTTAATTTTGATATCTTGTGAAATGAATTGCTAAATGGTATATTAACAAACCCATTTTCCTTTGCTTATCTATTTGTTAAGGGCTGACACTGAAGTTGAGGCTGTACAGGAAGATATAGGGACAAAGTTTATACTGTGTTACTCAGGTTACTTCCTGTTTTGCTTCAGATTTAAACAGGTGCAGGTGAAAGCATAATTACGCCTCTGGACTTTGCTGGAAGGACTGAATACAAAAATACACTGGAAGCCTGAGGGGATACTGGTAACTTGTGATCTGATCTGCTATCATTGAACTCAACAGCCAAAGCTTCCACAAACAGTGTTGCTAGATCAAGCTCTTCAAGGATTTGGTTTGGTTTGGTTTGGTTTGGTTCTCCCCCTTCCCGTCTCCCTCCTCCCCTTTAGTTCTGCCCATCCATGACCATTATTATAAATAAAATTCTAATAGAAACCTAATTGTAATTAATGAAAACTTCATTTTCTTCAAAAAGTTGTAGTTTAACTTCAATGGGCTGTGGGTAAGGTCTTATTGTTTTAGGCATTGCTTGCAATTTGTGGCTCTTGCAAAAGAAGTGAGATTTAAAGAAGCATTTGAGAACTGAAGGGCACCTCTTGGGATAGGAAGCAACCTAGAAGCAGATAATAGGAGAACACAACAGATAAGTGTTGAGGCAGGCTGCTTTAATGCACAAAAAGATGGATGAATTGTTCAGAATGAAGAACAGAAATGTGGGCAGGTCCAATACTGTGCAATGTCTTGACACAATGATGAGAAGCTAAAACTTTCTATAATGGCAGGTGGGGAAGCTAGGGTAAAGAAAGAAGGGAAGGAGTGTTGATGAATGTCAAGCAAAGAAAATGATTGGTTATATTTTCATTCAAGATCAGAGCCCTGCCTGAGTTAAAATATCCAAGTCCATCAGTGAAGTCATTGACTAATTCAATTATTTATAAACTCTGATCATCTGAAGAAGTGGGCTGTGCCCACGAAAGCTCATGACACATCTACATGTTTTATTAGCCTTTAAAGTGGTACCAGACCATTTGTTGTTTTTTAAGTTTAATTAAATTATGTTTGTGGGAGGTGATTTCATTCCTCAAACTTCTTGGGCAAATTATATATTTCTGTACATTATTGTTCATAAAGTAAATCTAACATATGTAAGTTATTTTCAAGTGCTAGGAGAATTGGAAAGTCCTGTTTTTCTACAGCTTTGCTTTTAGCTGATATGTTCACATTTGGGGAACAATTTAATCTTTGGGTCAGAAATCACTGTACTTGTCTCTCCAAACTGTGATCATCTGAATTGCTTTCAGGTTAACATTTTATAGAGGAAATCCAATCCAAGATCTCTCTAAGCACAGAGAGCCTTTGTTTGTAAACCGGTTTTTACTGGCATGACCAGGATATTTGCCAGTTATTGGCTGCAAATATAGTCCTTCAAACAGAACTTAAAACAAAACATGTTTTGTCTCTGTCATATATTTCCAAGTTGATCTCTGTTCCCCACCTACATTATTGCTCTTTTTTTTTTAAAGCATTTATTTAGGACAATATTGACTCATTGATTCATGGGCTGTATCGCCATAGAAATCAATGAGAGTTTGGCAAAAATAATGAGGAGATAAGGCCTTTATTGTGTATTGGAATGTGAGGTCTTAATTGTGCTGCCTTGTTTAATTTTAGTGTATTTCACATTTAGGTAAGCCATGTGCAGAAATCTTTTGGAGTTTATGGACCTGATCCCGTAATGTATTAAACATCTTCAATTCCCATTGAACTCCGCAAGTTTCTGGTTCTCACAAGAGTTGCTCAGTATCTTGCAAGATCAGGAATGTAAGGCCATGTCTACACTAGGAATACGGTTGCCAGGTGTCCGGTTTTCACCTGGACAGTCTGGTATTTGTGGCTCCTGTCTGGTAAAAAACCTCAGAAAATACTGGACATGTAAAATGTCTGGTATTTTCTGTTTTTCTCGGATGGAAGGCTGGCGGGAACATTATTTCCCTGCCGCGCCTGGCAGGGGCGGGGGAGCGGGTAGAGTGGGGAGTTAAAGGCACGGTGACCATTTTTTTCTTTTTGCTTAACAATTTTGGTTTTTGTTCAATTTTTTTCCTGCCATGTTTGGGATTTTTTGTGAAAGTATCTGGCATTCTTAACTAGGAAACTATTTCAAAATAGCTAAATTCGACTTAACTCCCAGTTTTACAAAATCAAAATAACATGTCTCCTCGATGTGGAAGTCTCAAAATTAGTTCAAGGCAGGATCTGTTAATGTGGATGTGCTACCTGGACTTAAAGCCCCATGAAGCACTGGGGAGTAATTAGTTCAAATTACTCTGGGGAGTAGTTATTTCGAAAAAGTGACACGAGAGCATCTACACTACTGCTACCATGTGTACAGATTTTGAAATAAGTGGACCTTTACTTTGAAATAATAGTCTTGGTAGTTAACGAGCTCTGCTTATGAATTCAACCTAAGGGTTGTTATTTCAAAATACAGTAACGCCCTAGTGTAGACCAGGGCTAAATGACTTCCATTCCCAACCCTCTGAATGCTATTATGGAGAAAATATTGGGCTCGGATAGGCTTTGTAGATATTAGAACCAGTATTCAGATCACATTCATTAGTGTGGAATATTACTACCCAAGTAGATTAATAATTGTTCATCATTTTCTCTGGCTGCTGATACATATTTTTATTTATGTTGCACAAACTCTGCTTTTTAGACAGGTGGGAGAATAAAATGCCTATCCCAAAGAATTTAACAGGATGCACATGTGGAGATTTAA